AAATAATTTTTGGGACTTCTGTTTACTTTACTTCTTGAGATAAACCAAAGTAATTGTTCCTTGTTCGCACACTAAGGCATGCTGTTTTGGTTTTGATTTTGCTTTCCATGATCCCAAATCTTTTTCACATTCGTAGATCAAGCTCACTTCACCCAGATTAAGCTCGAAAGGGGTTTTTTTCTTACCCAAGGGGAAACCTTACACTTTTCCCTGAAATTCACTGCCATTTTTCAACCCAAAACTTTAATTTGAAAATCGTCTGGAGTTCATTATATCCTCCAGAGTGAATTTAGGCCTATTTTGTTCATCAGCAAAATTTTCTTGTCACTCGTAATCCCTTTTCAAGGCATTAAATGTAAATTATGAAAAAAAGAGGGCCCAAAAATGATCCCTTTTGGAAGCCATTGCTAATCCCATTCAATTTTACCCATTAAGGGAACTCCTGCTTTTTTGGGAAACCATGCCTCAATCCATGCTGAAATTTACCTCCTTCCATGAGCTGGGGGCTTTTCTTAAGAGTCTCTTGTGGGTTTCTCTATCAAGGCTTTACTAAAAAAACCCAAAAAAACAATATCATTTTCCTTATCACTGCAAAAGCCCCAAATGTTTATTGAAGAACGTCAGTAAGTTTTTCAGACAGGGGAAAGACCTCTGTGAATCCTGCTGAGATTCATTTATCAAATTTGCTCTTCAAGGGGGACTTCTGTATGTCACTATAATTTATTTCTAATAATTGCCCACAAAAAATGTCGGCTTATTGGACGGTAATTTTAAGGGTGGACTTTTCCCCTGTTTAATATAGGAACCACATTAGCCATCTTCCACAACTCTGCACAAAAAACCCCCTAAGGAGGACCATTGAATCCCTCGTTAATGGCTGACTAAGCTCCATTTGCATTCCTTAAAATAAATAAAAATTTTTAAAAAAACATTCACCCTGGAAAAAATCATCGGTCCCGGGGACTTTTGTTTCAGTTTGTTAACTTTTTAACCTGTCCCTCTGGGCAGTTATTTGTTAAATTAAATTATCGGAACTAAATAATGTTAATTACGGAAACTATTTTCATCTTCCTGTGAAAAAAGACAAAAAAAAATCATTAAAAAAGGAACACATTCCAGTTCATTATCCGTCACTGTCCATTCCGTTTCTGTAGAAGCCTGTACTGGGAAGCACACAGCCTAGCCCCGCTCGATAGTTCAATTTTTGCGGCATTCAGGGGTGCCTCTGTAGGCCCCCTGGTCGGTGGGACACACAGTCCACCCTCTCTCCTCCCCCTTCGCCGACTTGGGACCAGGTACTCCCCTCCAGGCGGGGGGGTCACTCCCACACTGCCCCTTTTGTACTCACTCCTACCCGTTGCCCAGTCCCGCCGTTTTATTCCCTACCCCCCGGTCCCCGTTTGTTCTTGGGGGACCCCTGTGGTTGGGTGGGGGGGTTCCCACACCAGTCCTCTCCGTGTAACCCAAGCCCCCCCCAAATAATCCCCCGCTTTTAGGGGCCCCAAAAATTTTTCCCAGCCCCTGGCAAGGCCCCCGGAGTACCGCCTTAGCCAGT